GGAGCTTCTTCCCAAGGCCCTGCAGCGAGGGGCTCCTCCAGCACCATGCCGCCAGTCAGCCAGAGAGGGCGCTAGCATGCAGCAGGAGCTGTTCCCCATCCTCCTCCTCCTGGGCTGAGCGTGCTGCCCTCACTATCTCTCTATGCACTAGGGGCCTGACCTGCTGCCCCTGTTGCACACCCCGGCAGGATGAGCCTAGTGACTGCTCAGCTGCCCCGTTCCCAGCAGCGCCCACCACCACTAACTCACTGCTTTCCTTCTGCCAGTCGGCGAGGAGATCGAAATGACTCCCATGGTGTTCGCCAAGGGCCTGGCCGACTCAGGCTACTGGGGGGACAAGTTCTTTGGGCGCGTTGTGAGCGAGGACGTGGAGGTGGGCGCCGGCTTCCTGCGCAAAGCCTGGCGCGCCAGGATAATCTACGGCCTGGAGCCTGTCTTCGAGTCCGGCCGGACCTGCATCATCAAAGTGCACAACCTCATCGTCTTCGGGACCAAGAATGAGAACACGCTCATCGAGAAGAACTACGACATCACCATCCAGGTGGGCCCAGGCCTCCCGGCAGGCATGCCCAGGCCACACCCCCTCCCCACGCGCTCCCCAGCAGGTGGGCCCCAGTTACGGCCCCTCCCCTCACGCTCCCCAGCAGGTGCGCCCAGGCCACGCCCCCTTGTTCCTGCAGTATGGGGACAGCCTGAAAACCCTGACTTGGCTCAGTGCGTTGATTGTTGTTGCCTGCATTGCACACACCCTGCCCTGTATGTCCCTCCCCCCACCTGGCACACTGCTCCTGCCCAGCGTGCTCCCCCCACCCCTGCCCACCTGGCCTGCTCCCCACTCACTACCCTGCTCACTGCCACTCCTCAGCGCCCCCCTGCACCCACCAGCCTTTACAACCCTGGCCCCACTCCTCTTCTCTTCTCCCGCTTTCCCTCTCCTGCCTTTCCTCATGCACACCCAGTGCCTGGAACAGCCTCCCCCAGCCTGGGCACCGGCTCCTGGCCTACTGGCCCCTCTGGCCAGTTGCCCCCTGACTTCTGCCATCCTGCCACTGCCTGCTTCTCCTGAGCTGTCCCTTGTGCTGCCTGCCCAGCCCCAGATTGTGTCCTGCCTGCTCCTCTGCTCCTGGGCTAGCTGCTGTCACACAAGCCCTGAGGGGCAGGGGCCAGCACCCGTAGCCAGCTCCATGGCTGTCCAGTACTCTTACCCATAATGCCTGCTGTCCCCCACACTGCGTGGTGGGGAGGCTCTGGTGGTTTGAGCCGCCCTTTGTCCTGTAATTGCCGGTGAGGATGCGTCCCAGTGCCCGTCTGTGAGCTCGCCGTGAGGAGCAGGATGCTGTCTGAACCTGGCTTGCTGGCCCGGCGCAGGGCAAGGGATAATGACTCTGCTTGAATCCCCAGGAGTGCAAAATCCAGAACTCGAGCCGGGAGTACTGCAAGATCTTTGCTGCTGAAGCACGGGCCATCCCAGACTTCGGGGCAGTGCCCGAGTAAGTTGGGCCTCTGCCCTCCATCCTGAGCATGCAGGGGCCACAGGGCGGTATGGCCTCCTCCCACCCCGAGCATCACTGAGCCGGGGGAGGGAGGATCTGGGGTGGGCGGCACCAGCATGGCCTCCTCCGCCCCATCGCTCCAGGGATCCAGTGGCCCATTTTCATTAACAGGTGCACTCAGAAGCCAAATTGGGAGCGTTGTGTGGGAAGGGTCTGGGGCCTGGGCTAACGTAAGCAGGTTCAGTCGCTAGCATGGCTGAGGTGGGGGCAGCTTGCAGTCAGGTTGTTGCCCAGCCCAGGGAGCAGCCACGGGACGGTGCTCGGGGTGGTGGGCTCTGGGTTGGTGTCCGCCATGCACTCTGCATGCTAGTCACAGAGCCAGCCCGTCGGCCTACGTTCTGGCTTGCCCTATGCTGACCTGGGCCGTTTACTATTGTCCAGGATCATCCCTCTGTATCTCATTTACCGACCTGCCAACACTGTCCCGTACGCCACCATCGAGGAGGACCTGGCAGGGCCCTTTGAGCGGTACTGCATGAAGGAGCGGGACGGCAGCCTGGCTGTTCAGAGCAGCTCAGAGATCGCGCAAAAGTGCTGCACCTTCCAGCACTGGCTCTACCAGTGGACAAATGGAAACATCCTTGTGACCGACATGGAAGGTATGGGCCGAGTTGGCTGTCTAGTCCCCGGCGAGGGAAGAGTCCCTGGTTCCTCTGGCCCAGCGCCACAGGGCCCAGGGCAGTGGTGCCTCCTACGGCACACCACCCAGCACTGTGTCCGGGCAGCCCCGCCCCTGAGAGAGAGCCAGGGAGTTGTGGCTGCTGGAAAAAGAAGATGGGAAAATCTCCTTCAGCCAAGGACTCTAGCTACCCCACACCATTCTGCCAGGCATGGTGGCAGGCAGGGCCTTTCCCTAGTAGTCTCTCCCCCATAGCATTGCATCGACCAAGCACACTAGGATGTACTGGAGTGGTAGCCTGCGTTGGCACCTGGAGGTGGGAACCCGGGAGATCTGGCCTCTGTTCCTGTCTCTGCCAGCCACTGGCTTGAGGGCCTTGGCCTCAGGCTTTCAGAAAGAGTCTCTCCTCTATGGTCCCCAACTCCAGACCCCTGGGGCCTGACTTGCAGAGGTGCAGAATGCCCAGTGTCAGCTGGAGCCAGCGGCTGAAAGCGTGTTGACAGGGCACCCAAACCCAGAGCCCCCTCAAAGCCCTGGCCTGTGACCTCTCTGAGCCAGGGCTTCCCCAGGTGTGAAATGGGGACTGTTCCATCTCTGCTCCCCCGGGTGATGGGGCGACATGGGTGGGGGCTGCTGCAGTCTGTGTATGGAGGGGCTCTGTGGGCTGGTCGCTGCTCATCGCTCCTTTCCTGGTAGGACTGTCCCCTCCCCAGGCTCTCTCTGACTCCACTAAGGGCCCTGCCAGCCCATGTTCTCCCAGCCCCTCCTTGACGCTTCCAGCCTTCCCCTGGGCCCCAGGGGTGGCAGCAGCTGCACCCTGCGGGCTGGAATGAAAGAGGGAATTCGGAGAGGGACAGAGCTAAAGGCGCGTTCAATCAAAAAGAGGGCAACTCCGGGCCTAAACGTGATTTGCCAGGACTCTGCAGGGGTGACTGGGACCCTGTGCTGGTGCCCCTCACACCCACCTTGCCCATGCAGGGGTGACTGGGACCCCACGCCAGTACCCCTCACACCCACCCAGCCTATGAAGGGGTGACTGGGACACCCCCCCACCTGCTCAGGGGACACTGGGACCCTGTGCTGATATCCCTCGTGCCCATCCTGCCCATGCAGGGGTGACAGGGGACCCCCCCCCGGTGTCTCTTGTGCCCACCCTGCCCCTGCGGTGGGCTCAGTGACTTGGACCCCAGCCAGGAGACTCCTTGGGCCAAATCTTGCTGACCTGGCAGAATTAGTGGCCAGGCTTCTGCTGACAGCCATGGGAGCTGCATCGAGCTCGGCCTGAGGCTGGTGATTGTTCCCTTCCCTTGCAGGCGTTGGGTGGAGGATCACAAACGTGAGGATAGCTACAAAGCTGAAAGGGTAAGTGACTGCAGGGCTGAGGCAGAGAGCTGGCAGCTGGCTTCTCAGAGGGGCTGTGGGGGCACTGCCCTACCCTGGGCTGTGTCTGCCACGTGATGGGGCTGCCCCAGCCTCTCTGCAGGGCTTGCGGTGACCTTGCCCCCCCACTCCCTTCCCTGTCACTCGGCCAGCCACCCATAGCTCTGTCTTCCTCCTGCACGGTTCAGCCCCAGGCCTGTCTCCTCTGCTGCTCTCCTCTTCCCACTCCAGTTCCTTAGTGTGTGATGGCGGGTGGGAGGGGAAGTGAAGGTGGACTGGGGGGGGGGTTGTATGTGATGGAAAGTGGGGGCTGCAAGAGGGAGGCTGGGTCTGGGGCGGGGGGGGACACAATGGTGGGTCCAGGAGCTGCTTTGCGCCCTGCTGCAGTGCCATGGCCCATGCAGTGAGCACCTACAGCAATGCCCTAGAGGGGATTGGAGCCGGGTGGAAAGTCAGCGCCCCCACACACCACCCGGAAAGGGGTATGTGCCTAGAGGGCAGCAGCCCAGGCGTCTTGTCTTCCTGCTCGCTGTGCCTGGGGGTGTGTGGGGAGAGGGGCGCCCTGGCCCAGAGCCCCCTTGGCAGGGTACTGGCCCTGAGTGTAGCTGTGTTGGCAGGTACCAGGGGCTGAAGGAGAGCTGCTTCCCGGCCCTGCTGGACCAGTTTGCTGCTGTCCACCAGTGTAACCGCTATTGTGAGATCCTGGGCCTGAAGAGTCTGGAGAGCCTGCAGCAGCCAGCCAAGCCCAAGGGCTCCAAGAGCCCCTCCCTGGGCAGGAAGGCCCCCTCAGCCCAGTCCAGCCCCCAGCTGCAGAAGAAAGGCCTGGCAAGCCCCCAGGGCACCCGGAAGGGCGCCGTGAGCCCCAAAGCCTCCCGGAAATCCACTGAAGCTGGGGAGGCCCAGCCGGCCCCGAAGCACAAAGCGCTGGAGAGCGACAGGCCCAGCCAGCTGCAGTAGCCAGAGCCTGGTGCAGCCATGCAGGCAGCGTGCCGCCGTGCACACCTGGAAAGGGGACCCAGCCGCTGCTCCTTCCTGTGGCTCCCAGCACGCCCCTGCGCTGCGCTCTGTGTGGTGTGCGAGTGAAGCAGTGACTAGGCTGGCGCCAGTGTCGGGGGGCCCTGGGTAGCCTAGTGGGCCGGAGCTGGCTCGGTGCATGGCGGGGCCTGCACAGCCGCTGTAGGGAGCATGGCAGCTCAACTCTGTTACCTCTTTAAAACAACAGCTCATCCAGGCCGGCCGAGCCTGCCAAGCCCCAGCTGCCAGGGCCATGCAGGCATCACAGTGCCCTGTGCAGAGGGTATTGGGGCAGTGTGCCAGCCTGACTACCAGGGGGCACTGGTCATTGCCTGATGGTGACCCTGAGGCTCATTTTCTGAATCCCTCCTTTAGACTGTGCCGGCTTTTCTCTGGCTCTGCTCCGACGCCTGGCCCTGGTGTTCTCTGCTGGCGACCCCTGGAGGAGAGCGAGCAGCTGGTGCTCCTTTGTGTGCCACTAGGAATGTGCCGCTCTACCCTGCCAGCCTGCAGCTGTCTACAGTGCACTGACCCCGCTCGGGCATGGGTGCCACAAAGGCCTGGTAGCTCTTGGGTCCCCCCGGCTCGCAGCACCTCCTGGTGTTTTCCCTACACATGCCCAGCAGAAATCCCTGACCCCAGGTCCCTAATGGGCCATACACAGGCCCTACTAACCTCTGCTGTAGTTTCCCTGAGCCCGGCTAGTTCAGCACCTCTCTCCGGTCCCACCCCATGCCCATTACCTACTGACTACTCTGTAGGGGGAGCATGACTAGACAGGCTGCTTGGTCCCTCTTTGCCCCGTGGGGATGGCCGTGTGTTTTCTGTGATTCCCGGGCCTGGAAAGTCTGGCAGCATCCAGCCCTCGCTACAGAACCATGTGGCAGATTCTTCGCTTTCCCTGATGCAAAGCAGTGCAAAGCCAATCTTCCACGTGTGCTTCACGTGTTACTAATGCAGCATTGTCTGCCTGAGTCTGCGGGGGGGCGCATTGCCCGGGGCCTCTCAGCTGGGAGTGTTTAAGTTTGGAGTCTATCGGGCGCAATTAAAATATCACCACTTAGTTCCCTGCCTATTATGGTAGTGGAAGTGCTTGGGGTGTCTGTGTTGTAATGTGCCAATCACAATGGTAGGTGGGTGCCAGTCTAGCCAGCACAGAGGGGCGGGTGGGGGGAGTTCAAACCTCCTGCTCCTGTGAAAAAATATTTCACATCTTCTCCAAGGGGAGAGGGAACAGCCCACCCCTGCCAGCAGAGCCAGTACACTCTGCAGCATCCTCGCTGGCAGACCCAAAGCAGCTTCCCCTGCACCCCATCCTCATGCAGCCCTGGGCACTTGGATCACTGCAGGATTGGGCTGGGAAGAAATAACCCAGCCTTCCCCTGACCAGGTCAAGCCGCACCCTGTTGTCCTCAGGCCAGTAACACCCTCCCTTTGTGAGCTGACAAAGTCACGGGCTGGGCCACAGCATTGGGTGTGTTTTGGCACAGTGTCGGTGGGGGGTGTGCATTGGAGCCGGCCCCTCTCTGTGGAGTGTAGGGATCAGCGTTCTGTTCTCCTAGGGCAGCAGGACGTCCCAGCGAGGCAGCCCTGAGTGGGGTTAAGATTTAATAGTGGCCTTGCCCCTTGACCTGGTAATGCTGCCATAGCACAAACCGGATTTAAAGCTGCTCTAAAGCAGAGCTGAGGATTCCCCATTGTATGCAAGTCCTGCCCTGTGCTCCCCACCTTCCCCATCTGCCAGCATAGGGATGGGGCCACCGATCCTGGCCAGCAGAGAGGCTTCTTGGGAGCTGGTTCAAGTTAGTGCAGCCTCAAGGCTGTTCTACCTCATGCTGGGGGTGCCAGTTCAGCCCCCAGGCTCAGCGGTGGAAAGATGGCACATTCCCTATCTCCCCTGTATGCCAAGAGCTGCTCTGGTGCACCTGGGCATCTAGCCCAGTAATTTAGCATTCAGCTGGTCTTATCGCTCACCCCTTTGGATCCAGGGAGGGTCTGAACCCACCTTCCCAGCTGTGCCCTGTTGGCTCTGCCCTGCCTCTACACACCCTCCCACTCCTGGGATCAACAGGCGAGTCCTTCCTTTGCCTCCGAGAGACAACCCCAGCCCTGCCTGCCTCTCATCCCCCAGGCCTGTAAGCCCTGCCCCCACAGGCCTCCATTCTTCTGGTTTGTCTCTAGGTCTCGTGGCTTCAGTGCTGGCGATGTAGCTGCGCTGGGGGCGGGGAACAAGATGTGCCTGCTGCTTACGCTGCCAGACTTTGGCTCAGGCACAAGTTCTCTTGGCTACTGCCTCCCAGTGTGGCTGACAGCGGGGCTGTGGCCTTGTTTAAAGGGGCAGACACAGGCCATGTGCTCTCTTCTTGCTTCTTCATGGCAGAGTATGGGGGCCTGAAAATGCCCTGTCTGTTTGTTCCATTAGAATGCAGGTCCTGTCTGGGCTGGGGAAGCGGTGAAGTGAGGACATCACAATAGCCGAGCAGCAGGGGCTTGTTTGCATTAGTGATTTGCCCGCAGGTTGGTTGGTTGCTTATTGCCTGGGGGTGTCACTGCCACAGTGTTTGTGGCTCACCCCAGGGCTCGGCCTAGGCAAGCAGGTCACTGGAGGTGAAACTTTAGTGGAGACAAGCCTGCTCTGTGAGTGTGAGCCGCTGTTCGGTGCCCTTTGGTTGGTGAGTTGGTAACCGTGCTAACGACCCCGGAGCAGGGAAGGCCTTCCCTGTAGTGACGGGGTTACGGGCTCACAGCAGCCAGCCTGAGTCTTCCCAACAGCCCTGGCAGGGCAAAGCCCCACAGCGCAGACACGGCCTTGGCTGCTCCTGCAGGGAAAGCGCAAGCAGAGCCAACCTTGGAAACAAAACAGCCCCCACCCTTCTCCTGCACAAAGCTGCCAAAAGCCCGGGTTTGCAAACCCCCATAGGCCTCATCTTCACCAGGAAAGGAGGTGTGATCTTACCGCGAGCTAGCTAACATAAGGGGAAGCCCTAGTGCAGACATGTCTGGGGGTAGTTTTCACATGAGTTATCTCGACCTGCTATTTTGTGTGAAAGCTACACGCTGCCTTGGCTGCTCTAGGGTTGAGCCTGGTATTTGCTAACCCTCCTGCTCGGGTACCGCTGGCAGCTGACATAATGCCCCAGCACAGGGAGCCACTTGTAACAGGCACAGCTGGATTTCCTTCTCCCTCTTGAGCCCTGCTCGCGGGAGGACAGGGAGGGCTCACGTTTGGGTTGTGTTTTACGAGAAGGAATAAACAGTAGCTCTCTTGCTGTGAATGCCTAGCAGCGCCAAGGCACAGGGAGCAGTTGTTACTGCTGTGTAGCTGGGGAGGTCGGTGCTGGACCCCCCGCAGGTGCCCTTGCCTAGCTGCACTGCGGTTAAAGCTACCCCCGCCTTGTCTCCACTAGGATCCCACAGGAGCTAGCTCGGGCCTGTTAACTCGCTGTAAAAGCTCACCTTTTCTAGCAGTGACCGCAGGCTGAGCCGCCCAGCTAGTGCAATTAATGGTCAGCCTGGGCCAGCGGAGGGGGAGGGGAGCTGTTGAGGCCTTGTCCCGTTGGGCTCAGAGCACAGACTAGCTGTGACCGTGGGGCGTGGGACTGGGATGCCACAGAACTTCAGTCCCAATGGAGGTGACTGGTGCTGGCAGCAGCAGTGTTGTGGTGATACAAAGCCGGGTGCCCAGCCAAGCTGCCTGTGCTAGGGAGCTGCCCGGCTGCTGCTTTGCACTCCATGGCTGCGGCTGCGCTTCGCCCTTCTGCCGGGGCCGATTCCTGCTCTCAGTCAGCCCATTGTAAGATAACCGTGTACATACTCGTCTGTGTATTGGCAACTGGGTGTGCGCGAGTGCAATAAAACGCGATGGACTGGCCTGCTCTCCAGTGCGTCTCTCCCGGCTGGAGGGGCTGGGATACCCCTCCTTCCTGCTCTCCCGCTAGCTGGGGGGTGATATGGTGCCTAGCAGCGTGTTGCCCAAAGCTCAGCATAGCAGGGGTTTGTCTCCGGGGCGGAGGAGGGGGACTGTGTGTGGTGCTGGGGGCAAAGGAGAAGGGGTTTCATTTTTCTAGTCTGTTTGCACCCACTCCCAGGTGTAGGGTAGGCAACACCACCTGGGTCGTGAGACCAGTGCCTCAGCCGGCACCCTCCCTGGCACAGCTGCAGCCCCCATCCCAAGGCAGGTACAAACTCTGAGGAGTGCAGTGACGAGACCTTGCTGGAACACCATCGCCTGCTGGTGAGTTACACCAGAGTCTGGCCAGCGATGTGCTCCAAAGGAAGGTGTGAAACCCCTGCCTACATGGCTGCAGTGACGTTGGTTCCTGAGCCATCAAGCAGGGGCTGGCTTCTGCCCTGACGTATGAAAGGATGGAGCCCTTTGAAATCTTCCTCCTCTTTCATGGAGCTGCATCCCTTCTTATTATTCAAATCCTACATTCCAAAGCCAGCAGGGACCATGCTCATCATCCTGCTGACTGTGTGTGTGACGCAGGCCAGAGAACATCCCTGAAGGAATTCCTTTCTGAAATCCAGTTCTTATTCTGTGTTCAAGCCTGCTGAGCTCTGGCCCTCAGCGCTTGGGGCAGGAAGTTCCACAGGTTCCATTTATAAACTATAGTGTGTTTAAAAGCAGTCCCCCTTTCCAGTTGGAAAGTTGCTGCTTTTTAATTTCATTGGGCTTCCCTTTGGGCTGCTTTGCCTGGGAGTGTAAACAAGAGCCCCAAACTAACCTTACATATCTCTCCATGTCCCCTCCTTTCTAAACTCTATGGCTAAGCTGTTCAGTCTCTGCATGGGAAAACCTTCCCCCCGCTGTGTTCTGCCTCATCTTTGCACCTGCTCTCTGGCCACCAGGATTTCTGAGCTGGGGTAACCAGACCTGAACACAACAGGCTAGGAGAGAATGTACCAGCGGTTTCGAGAATGGCACAATAGTGTTTTCACTGCTCTTCTCAATCCCAGTCCTTATGCACCTAAACACGTTGCTGGCACCTGTAACTGGTCGTGCTGCACATTGGGCAGAGGCTTTCATTGAGCTCCCCACAGGGATGCCCAGCTCCCTTTCCTGGGGCCACACAGGTAATTTAGACCCCTGGGATGCGTAGTAGTAGTATTCTCTCTAAGGTGTATTACACTGTATTATTCACCAGTGGAGTTCACTTGCTGGATCAGGTCCCTCAGAGGTGCCTTGCAGTCCTCACTGGATTGACTAGCGTAAATACCGTTGTGCCTTCTGAACGCTCATTAATAAACATATTGAGCCACGTGAGCCCTAAGACGTAACCTTGACTTTCCTGTTCTCCTTTTGCCATGCTGGAACTTGACCTTTCTGAGGCCTGATAGACTTCACCTCTTCCCCTAGGCTGATGTGGGCCTTGTTTGCTCTGGTTACAGCCATGGGGCTACCCCAGTGTAGCTGCCCCCTCCTAGAGCGAAGCTGTCATATGCTGCCATTTGCGCCTGTGCAGCTGATCCTCGTTTCAAGCAGGGGTAATCTGCAGGGGTGCACGTGGCAGTGCAATGGCAGCTGGGCCTAGCTGCACGGGAGCAGCTATGCCTGGGCCTGGTTGCAGCTCCCTGAGCCCCTGCCGAGACACCCTGGTGCATAAGGGGCTTCTGGAAGTTCCACTGATCTGCCTGAGTGGGGATGGTGCAGGCAGGGGGCTGGGATGGACCCTGCCCTGAAGGGCCACAGGTCAGAAACCAGACAAGTTTCTGAATAACTCTCAGGGCTGCCCCCTGGGACCACTCATGCACCCTCTATGGAGTTATTCAGCTGTTACCGTTGCATTGCCACTCCCTCAGACTCACAGCCTGGATTAGTCTGCAGCAGCCCTGTTGGCTTGGTTAGGCATGGACTCACCCTACTGCTGTTGTGCCCCACCTGCTCTGGGAGGATTCTCAGGTGCATGAGGCAGATTGGAGCTTGTAGTCTAAGATGCTCAGTGTTACTGTGAGGGCACAGGGTCTAGGCGCTCCCTAGGGAGATATGGTCAGATGCCTAGGTTTGGAGGCAATAAAGGGCCCAATCTCACAATGCAGCTGGGTCTGGGGGCCAGGGAGGAAGGACCTTTTATTACAAACCAACCTGGGTAAGTCTGATTTTGGCACTGGTGACCCAGGTGGCAGGTGCCTAACAGGCTAATGATCAACATGCAAAAACCTAGAGTTCCAGGCCAGACGAGAGCATTAGATCATCTAATCTGGCCACCTGTATACCACAGGCCAGAGCCCTTCCCCCACTTACCCCAGGAGTGAGCCAATAACGGGTTTAGGCAATGTCCATCTCCCGGAAAGGTGTTCAGGCTGGATTCGGAGACATCAAGAGCTAGCGAAGCCACCACCTCCCTTGGTAGCTTATGCCAATGTCTTCAGCATCCAGCCACTGGTTCTTGTTCTGCCTTTGCTAGATAACCGACTTCTCTCACTGCTCCCTTGGCTGTCCTCCCTCACCTGTGCCTTGGGGCTCTCCATAAATCTGTGAGTGCTGTGGGGCAGAGACTGACTTTTTGATATTGTTACAGAGCCCTGCACCATGGGGCCTTGATCTCTGCTTGGGACCCCCCCAGGCATCACTGCAATACCAGCAGCAAACAACACAGAAGCAGTTTCTGTCCTTCTCTGGAAGCTGTCAGCCCCAGGCATGGGCCCAGGGTAGAAGGCCATGGTAACCAGGATGAAATCTAGCAGTGACCACGCGACCTGGTACAGAGCATGGCTGAAACTGCTGAGAGCTGCTCACTGTGGTCAGGAACCCAGCTCCTGCCAGAGGGCTCTTTCACTTGGAGGCCACCTGCTGCTCTGCGCCAGCTCCCAAAGGTGCAGCCCACACCAAGGAAGCCAGCACAGTGGCCGTAGCGGTTCACAACTCCTGTTGCTTCCTGGCGAGCCATGTAGGCAGGCTCATTTCGGGTCGGTTCGCACTGCAGCTGGGGATGTGTTCCCAGCTCAGGCAGACAGACTGGCAGTAGCTTAGCGTGAGCTAGCGGGCTAAGAACAGCTATTGCAGGTCAGGCAGCAGCTCAGGCTGGCTGCCTGTGCTTGGACCCTGGTGGTTGGGCAGGCATAGACTCAGATAGCCCAAGCCGCCACCTGTGCCACAGCAGCTACACGACTATTTTTAGCATGCTAGCTCAAGCTGAGCGAGAGTGAGTCTGGCTACGCGGCATCACACCTCCCTGCAGCAATGCAGCCGAACCCTCCCAGGCCAGGCATGTGCATTACACCCACTGTCCCAGCGTTCACTTCGCCCTGAGGGCCCACTGCAGGCATGTTCCCCACACACCTTTCCCAGCCTCAAGGCCGGGTCTGGGTTAGAATCCCATCAACATACAATAGGACTGAGGCTCCTAAAGGGCTAGATCCACAATGGGATTTGGGTGCCTGCCACTTAAGGTGCCAAAGTCCAAAATGTAGAACCTCAAAACTACTGCTCAGTGGCCACCTAACCCTCTAGGTGCCTAGATTTGCACTGGTGAAGTCCCCTAGGCACTTAACTTTCTACCCTGGGATATATCCATGGCTGCCTCTGGCTTGATGCCCAGTGTCTAGCTTGCTCCTAAGCCCCAGCAGGATTTGCACACTAGTTCCCTCCTCCCCAGCTCTCCTGCAGGGCCCAATGGCAGGAGGTGCTAGAAGCTGCCTTGGGGAACATCAACAGACCAACCCCGCATTGAGCACAGCAGGAGGTGCCTCCCTTACACTGAATAGCCCCATGAGGGGAGGGATAGCTCAGTGGTTTGAGCATTGGCCTGCTAAACCCAGGGTTGTGAGTTCAATCCTTGAGGGGGCCACTTAGGGATCTAGGGTAAAATCAGTACTTGGTCCTGCTAGTGAAGGCAGGGGGCTGGACTTGATGACCTTTCAAAGTCCCTTCCAGCTCTAGGAGATAGGATATCTCCATTATTAAATTATGAATAGAGCACTCACCCAGGACAAGAGACCCATGTTCAAATTCCCCTCTGCCTGATGCAGAGTAGGGCCATGTTCCAGGCCAGTGTCCTACCCCCCAGGCTAGGGTGTACTCCAGGGTGGGGCTCTGGCCACCTTCCTTGGTGAAGCTGTTCCATTACATCTCCTTATTGGAGCAGGGATTGAAGCTGCCCCACCCACATCTCAGTGACTAGTTTAGTATTTCTAATGACAGGACCAGCCTCCACTCTGGGTTCGGCACTGCAACCCTGAGTCTAGTCCCTTTGTGGAGCTAGCCAGCAAAGTCACCTAGGCCTTGCAAAGCTACATGGTGTGACAAGTACCAGTGAAAATCTGGGCCTTTGTCTTGCCGTGCCTCATTTCCCCACCTGTAAAATGGGGACAGCAGCAGCCCTATCTCATCGGGTGTTGTGAGGATCAGTAGCACAAAGATGGTGAGGATCTCAGCTGGGGATGACAGCCAAAAGTACCTGCTGTGACAGAGCAGGGAGAGATCTTGTCTGTCTTCCTGTTTGTACAGGGCTAAGCACAGTGGGACAGGAATAGTGATGGCTGTACCGATGGGGGCTGGCAGGGAGAGGTGGTGCGTCAGTGAGGTGCATGGTGGGAAAGAGCTGACAGCGGATCCAAACGCAAGGGCAGAATAAAGGCTGGGGTTTCCAGAAGGGCTCAGCGTCCCCTGCCCCCCAGCTTGAGCCAGATTGTCCAAAGAGCCCAGTTCCCCTGTTCACATACGGAGGCTGGGTGGCCTCCCACTGTCTGGATGAGTGGCAGCTGCACAGTCCAGCCAGGAGGACTGGGCCAGGAGCACTGCAAGGAGCTTGGAGGCACCCGGCACTCTCCATGGTTTTATTAGTATGTAGTATAATATTAACATAAACAAAGCCTCCTTGAATGTGTGGGACAAGGCCCTAGCCCAGCAGCTGGGCAGGAAGGAAGCCTGCAGGGCATTAACCACCATGGCACACACCGGAACCACAAAGACACAGCAAGTCCCACAGGGACTGGTCAGACAAGGCCTGGCTTGTCAACAGAGCTCAGCCTGGGTAGCCACCCAGGAACCTGCTGGTGCTCCCTGGTTCTGGGGCCAGCCCCAGGGCGGTTGCTGTAATCCGCACTGGTGGGCACAGCCCCAAGGGACTGGCAGAGGAAATCCCCATCTGGGGCCATCTGGCTGTTTTCTGTCCTGTGTCGTCTGAGAGGTTCATGGGGCTCAAGGGAGGTAGAGAGTCGAGCCAAAAATACAGCATCTCCCAGCTCCTTGTCAGAGGAGGAAAGGCCAATGGGGCTGTGACCATCGTGCTCTGGAGAGGGTTAGCCATGGACCAGCAGTGCCTGGCCAATGCCCTGCTCTCACACAGGCCGTAACTGGGCTTTGGGAGCTGGCGCCGAGGGCGAGTGCTGGTTTGGGTGGCTGCCCGTCTCCTCTAGGGCAGCCCAGCGCAGACTGTGTTGTTGTAGTGCCCGCAGCACTGTGTCAGAGAGGCCATGCTGAGCTCGAGTCCCACCCAGCTGCCGGTGAAGGACAGGGTTCCATTGTTGCTGAGCACGGTGCTGGAAGGGAGAGTGCAGTCAGGGTCAGTTGCACCAAACAAACATCTTGCCATGGAATCAACACCAGGGAACTCCATGGCCTGACACCACCCGAAGCACAGAACCCCTTCCCCACTCCCACTGACCCACCCACTTCCACAGGGTCTCCTCTCCCCCAGGCCCAGAGCCTCAAATCCCCTGTCTGTCTGGCTGGGATGGCTTGGCTCCCCCTAAAGCCCTCCCCCACCTCAGTGCTGCCCAGCCAAGAGAGTTTATCATGAGCCCAGTGATAGTGGGGGTTTTCCTTACAGCCCCAGCTCCTGGAGTCAAGTGATTAAGGCAGTGTCTAGCCCTCCCCGTTGTGATCCCCAATGGCTCTGTCAGCAGAAGGCAAACAGACCCAGCTGTATTAGTTGAAAAATCTCATGATTGTTCAGCCAAATTCATGATAATTTGGGGCCTGAGTCATGATTTTTGAATGGCTGGGGTTGGTGACACTGTCTTCTAGTCCCAAACTCTCCCATGTCCATCCAGCTCTACACCGCCACTCCCCACATGCTCAATGAACTCTTGCACCCAACTCTCACCTGTCCCACCACTTCCCTAGGCTGTTAACCCCTCCTCGCCCTATGCAGCCTCTCCGCAGCTCAGCATTCCCCTCTGCTCAGAGCCCTCTCCCACGCATAATCAGTCCCCTCCCTCACAGACACCCAGGGTCAGGCCCCGCCCCCACTCCTGCATTCCCTGTAACAGGCCTCTTGCTGCTGCATTTTTTGTCTACGTCCGGGTAACATTTTTTGCACATTTTTTTCATTCAA